GGACCCCCCGCTTGAGAGGCCCATTCCCGGCCGGCCTGGATCGGGCCGCCGGGAGGGACCCCACCTCCAAAGTGCGTGACCTCATCACGTCAGGCATGTTGCGGGGGGACGCTCTGTCATTCGAGGGAAAACACTATGGTTTGCCCTTGAATGATTGTGGCCCCGCCCCCAACGTGCCCTATGTGATGACGTCACTTCCAGGTGACATCATTGCGGTGCGCACACTTTGCATGCGCACAAGGAGACTCCCAGGGATGTCCTGGACCCCACCCCCACCCCGCTATTCCATAAGCAGGACTTGGCAACCCTAGCTCTGACAGAAAACTGCTCTTTTTTCAAGAACAGCTCTGAGCAGAACTGTGGCTTGCCCAAGGTCATCCAGCAGCTGCAAATCTCCAAGTATTTCCCAAACCGGAGCTGGCAACCCTATCTGCATGGAGAAAAAGTGACCTTCAATAGGATTGCCAGCTCCAGGCTGGGAGATTCCTGGCGATTTGGGGGCGGGGTGGAACCTTGGAAGGGCAGGATATGGGGAGGAGAGGGACCCCCATGGGGTACACAGAGTCCCCCCCCCCCAAAAGCAGCCTTTCTCGCCAGGGGAAATGATCTCTGTGGTCTGGGCATCAGCTGCAATCCAGGGAGATCTCCAGGCCTTACCTGGAAGTGGGCAGCTTTAGTGAATGTGGGGTAGGGTTGCTAGTTCTGGGCTAGGAACTTATGTTCTTTATAGTCTGCATTTCTCACGGGGACTGCGGGTGGGTTGCAGTGAGGCAGGATCAGCAGATAGCCTCCTTTTAGAGGACGTGTCCTCTTTTTTTTTGGGTGACCATCCTGTTTTAAGAAACTGATGAAAAGGTTCTGTTTTGGGGTTTGTTTGTTTATTTTATCTATTTCATTCCATTTATTAGTCGCCTGTCCCCACAGACTGTGGGGCTCTAGGTGAGGTACAAGAGTTCTAAAAACATAAAAGACATAAAAACCCAGTCCAGGAGCATACTATAATTAAAAGCAGGTGGCGAAATTTGATAGCTTCTTACCTTACCTGGTATGTGAGCGCTTCACACGTTCAGGGGTGAATAAGTTCTATACAGAAGAAGGGTCCAGGTATTTATTTATTTATTTATTTATTTGTTAAATTTATATCCCGCCCTCCCCCGTAGGGCTCAGGGCGGCTTACATGGCAAAGAACTTGCACATAAAAACATAAAAACATCAATACTATAATACAATTTAAGACCATAATATACAATTTAAAAACCCAATCAAACAATAAAGTGCTCAAACTCCATAGCATCCATACTAAAAAAATTAATTTACTAACATAGAAGTAAAACAAGAACTCTACAAGTATATTGTGTGACTAACACTTTTATTACTAACATATAGCTTAACACAGAAATGATCTCCTTCTCTTGGGTTTTTAGTTAGTGTGGGTATCTTTCCTTTATCCCTATTTTTCATTTTAGTTCAGTAGTCTTATGAAAAATAATAACATTTCCCCCTTGGGGGTTTCAAAAATAATAAAAATAAAACACAGTCCAGAATCAATCAATCAATAAGCTATTCCAAGCTGGTGAGGAATTTCAACAGAAAATTGCAACTTCCCATAGCCTGGGGGGGGGCAGGTGAAGAGGAGTGGGAGACCTGAGAGTGCCAGACCACTTACTGTCCCGTCACTGTCCTCAACCAAATGCCTGGCGGAACATCTCTACCTTACAGGCCCTGCGGGATTGGATAAAGTCTCGCAGGGCCCTGATGTTATTTAGCAGAGAGTTCCACCAGGTTGGGGCTGGAACCGAAAAGGCCCTGGTCGAGGACAGCTGGATATCCTCAGGGCCAGGGATCACTAGCAAGTTGTTCTGTGAAGAGCGTAATGCTCTCCTGGGTTGGAAGGTTAGGAATATTCTTAGTTAGTAGCTATTATTGCAGCTTAAATAGTAGGCAGGGGTCATTTCCTGCAGGGGCACACAGGAGCGGAGCTCCGACAGTAAAGAGCCCAGGGGGCGGGCACATGGAACAAGCCCCACCCCCTGCTCCCCGCCGCCCTCCCTCACA